CTCTCTCTCTCTCTCTCTCTCTCTCTCTCTCTCTCTCTCTCTCTCTCACACACACACACACACACACACACACACACACACACTCACACTCCTTTTTCTGGAGGCAGGGTCTCACTATGTAGCCCAGATTGGGTTTAAACTTAGGCTCCTCCTGCCTCTGCCTACCAAGTGCTGTGATCATAAGTGTTAGCTACAATGTTGGCTTGAAATTCACACTTCAGTGTCAACCAATGGTTTTGCTAAACAAGGCTGTGCTTATTTATTTATACGCTGTCTGTGGCTTCTCTCAGAGCTCATAAAGCACGAGATGCCGCAAGTGCTCCCCGACTGTTCCTTCAGCGATTCTCCTGCCTCAGCTTCCTGAGTACAATTACAGGCATGACCATGGCACTTGGCCTTAATCAAGAGCTTTAGTTTGTTTTCTAGCTCAATATAGACATGCCACTTCATGGGACTCAGTAGCCTCATGTGCTGGTGGCTTTGTATGGGGCATCAGTTAACTGATGGTGGCAGGATTTTGTTCAGGGGCCCAGCAACACATGCTCCTACCCATCAGTCCCAAATTATAATGGTCACCCAGTATACCTGCCTCTCCTGTGCTTGTGTCCGTGCCAGAACAACCCCCAAACCTACAAGCCCTGGCAACATGAGAGCCCCCCGTGAGGAGTGTACCCCAGCATTTCTGGTGCTCCTCTCTCATATTCAAACCCTGAGCAGGGAGGGAGGAAGAGTGCTGGAGGCTGAGCTCAGCAGAGATGCCCATGGGCAGAAACTGCTTACAACAGGGTCTTGAGGTGATGTAATGCCAACACTGGGCCTTGCCACGGTCACTGTGAAGCAGGCACTATACTCCTGGGCTGTCTATCTGCCTCCAGGAGGATTACCTGTTCCTCCAGAAAATACTAGAGTCCTGCATGGGCTTGAGTGCTGTCTGCCTCACAGTTCCTATAATCCCTACCTACCCCTCTTGCCATCCTGTCCTGAGCCTATCCTCCTCCTGCCTCGGTGCTTGCTCACTAGGGATGCCTTCCTTGAGCATAGTATCTCTTGGGAGGGTGGAGACAGCACATTCTTCTTTTCCTAAGTGTGCAGAACAAAGAAGAAAGGCAGGCGGAAGAGCAACACTCTCCATGCTACTGTTAGGGAAGAGAGTCTCTTGGTGTGCTGAGAAGCCCCTGTCTTGACTAAGGGCCCCTGAAAGATGCTGGCACAGTCTTAGTACTCCCCTAACCCCCAACACACACACCAGGGAGCAGTTGGCTACCAGTTCTTTGTTGGCCTAGGTGGCCCTCTAACCTCAAGAAGCTGGTATTAGTATGTCTCTGCTTGTTTTGAGACAGGATCTCATGTATCCCAGGCTAGCCTAAACCACTATGTAGCCAAGGATGTTCTTCCACCCTGATCCTCCTGCCACTGTCTCCCAAGTGTAGGATTATAAGCACGTGTCACGTCTCTTGAAACCCACCTTCCCTCTGCTGGCCTTTCAGGCACAACTGTAGGCCCCAGCACCTTCTGTAGCCTTGGTGGTTGGTAACTCCACGTGTATGGTAGGCAGCTGTGTAAAAGGTTCTACAGGCTTTCCTTCTGGGTTCTGACAACTGCACTCAGGGACCACTGGAAGGGTAGAAAGGGAATCCAGCAGCAGCCCTAGCTAGAGAGGGCTGGCTGTTTCTCTGGCTTGGCCAACACTCTATAGAAGTAATTATCACACCCACAGCACTTGGCCAAGGACACTGGGACCTTCTTTGAATGAAGGAGGCTGGCCCCTCCCAGGTCTCCCCATCTAGGCCAGAGCACTCCAGTATAATTAGCATGTGGTAATAGGCAGGGACACGGAAGAATGCCAACACAGGTGGGTCCAGTCTTTGCTCACATTCTGGTTGCCTAGGCTGTACTGCAAAGAGAACAGGAAGGAGAGGGCTTCATAAGAACACAGCACAGCCCCCAGCTGGACACAGCAGACCTGAGCCATCCCACGGGCTGTCCTCTCATACAGGGCTCGTTGGTGGACAGGACCCTCCCCACTCCCGAGAGCACTTCCTTGCTCCTCCTGTGGCTCCAGTTTGTATGCTCAGCAAACACCCTTTGACCTCCACTGCAAGTCAGGCTTTTAGGAGGCTGGACCCAGCAAACAGTGATTCTCAGAGACCCTACCACTGACACTGTCTCACTGCTACATGACTTACGTGTAGCCACATCAGCCTCCAACGAGAGGCAGAAGGGGCAGGGGTACTAAGGACCACAAGACTTAAGAGATAGGTTCGCCCATCCTCTTAGTCCTGGGGCTTACTTATGCCTTTCCCACTCCAAGACCTACCAGCCAGTTCCTCCCTTATTTGCATTTGGGAACTGTTCTACTTTTAAATGGGACAGTGGCCTAGATCTGGCCTCAAGGAAGCAAGGGATGCCATTGCTCTGAAAGACAAAGTATTAATTATCAGGATGTATTAGCATGTCCCCAGCCTTGGTGTAAGATGGTCTCTGCATATGTTGAGGGCAGCTGGAGAATAGCCCCCAGGACAAGCATGAGAAGACAGGATGACATGGACTCTGCAGAGAGCCACACAAGGGGGTACTCTCAGTCAGGAGGCCAAGTCCTCTCTGTTGTCCCCAGCTTCACCTTCAGCTCTAAGGGCCCTCTGAGAGAAGGTGTTGGTCATGACAGCCCACCTGGAAGTAGGACAGGCCCCTCATTCTTCCTCACGGGTGCTCAGGGCTGGAGGCTGGGTGGGGACCATCATGGTCCTCACAAGCCATGAAACCTAAGGGCTGTAAACCCATGTGAGGGTCCCCTGGTATAGCCTGTCTTTTTGCCCCACACACCACAGCCAAGTCAGTACTTCCTGCCCAGAGTTTCCAAGGATTTGTGGGATGCCTCATCCCCAGAAGGACAATCTGGGGATATCAACCAAGTCAAGGCCAGGGAAACCTACTGTACCTTGTGTTTCTAGAGCTCTTGGTATAGGAAGTGCAATGTCTCCCTGTATCCCCATTTGGGAGTACCCTAAGCACAGTGCCCAACCCCAGGGAACAAGAGCAGATGGGGTTTCCACACCAACTGATAGAGAACCTACCACACAAGCCCTTCCTCTTGAAAAGTTTACGAAGGGACATCCTCTGCCACTGTAACTTCAGTAACCCCAATATTCCTCCTCTCTTGAGACAGGGGATGGCAAGAGAAAGCAGCAGTCCTAGCCCCACCTGGCACCAATAGTTACCCACCATACCTTAGCACTGTACCCACCAGGGCAGGAAGCAGCCAGTCCAGATCTGAAGCCAAGAACAAGCCACTGTTGAGATGCAACGCTGTCCAACAGACAGCTGATACCAAGGCCAGCCCTAAGGAAGTGACCTGGGGACAGGAAGTGAATCCTCCCTCCAAGAAACTAGGCTAGGATCTACCCCAGGGGAGGACTCAACCCTGTGAGAACTGGCTGAACAGCATTCCCTGAAGATAGGCGGAGTGCCTCCCAAGAAATAGACCACCCTCAGCTCTTTGAGCCTCTTTTTGGCCAAGATACCCTATAGTGCAATAACCCCATGTGGGTGTCATTGGCAGGCCATAGTGGAGACATCTCAGGTGGTACATCCAGGAGAGTATGAGGCCCAAGTGACAGGACCAAGCCCCACTAGCATAGCTTTTCCAAAAACAGTTTCTGCAAAGCCAGAGAACCCAGCTGGCAGAGCAGGGCAGCAAGGCTGGTCACCAGAGAGCACTGGCCCAGAGAAAGGGGTTCCTCCCTCCCACCCAAGCACCTCAACTCTGCTGACCCGTCCACCAAGCCAACCAACAAGCCACAGCACTTGATAACTAGCTCACCTGAGGCCACAGATGACAAGATGCCAATGTGCCCACACCGGGGTTGCTGCCTTGGGAAAGGGCCTCTGAAGAGGCTACCACTGCAGTACTCACCAAGACAGCATGCTCCTCCTATCAGGGTTTGGACTCTGGCCCAGGAATGCCAAATGCAGGCTTTGGGATTATCTGCATGGGCCAAAGTCCTGCAACCGAGTCTTGACTGGCCATATGGCTCAGGCTCTGCCCTCGTCTACAGTGCTACGGCTAGAGCCTCTTGGAGAACTTCATTACTGCCCCACCTGAGCATATGCTACTCAGGGACTCCTTCCCTTTAAAAGTGTGTCTGTTCGACAGCCAGAGACCACAGGGGACAACACGGTTTGCTGGCTCTTCACTGCCACTGTCACAGGAAGCGACCTGTTCCATGGCAAACGAGCCTGTGGCTAATTCTACACTGTAGGACAACAGAAGGGGTTATTCAAGATCCTGCCTTGATGTTCCTCACGTTGGCTCTGCCCTTGGGCAGAGTTCATCTCCAGGGCCACGGATCAGTAGTAGTTGGCAAGGAAGCCTAGGCTGTCCAGGTACTGCCAGGGAACTGTGCCCAGGTTGGGGCAGGGCTCAAGGGAACAGCAGGGTGTCCCCAAGATTCCCTGGACTCAGGTCCTGGCACTACTCCGTCATTCCAATTGCCAATGGGTAACCACTGTTCAAGCTGCAAAGCTCTGCTTTTTTTCAGCTCCTGCTTACTATGGCAGATGCTGCCATGCCAGGCAGGATACTCATGGGTCCTCACCCTGCACTTCCTTTCCAGGCCACTGCCTTCTCCTAGGAACAACACTGGAGACAGTGGCCATCACCCTCTACCTGCACACAAGAGGAAAGGTGCAAGCTGAACTCATCAAGTGAACCAGATGTTCCACTGAAAATGACAAACTCCACCTAAGGGCCAAGTGCAGGATAAAAGCCTTAGGAAGAAGGGTGCCGTCCTACACCCTCCCTCCTAAATGGGAGATGAAGCCAGAACACATTACAAAGTAGTTCTCAACCTTGGTTCTAGATTCCCCCCGCTCCCCCATTTTTGCCAAGTACTTCCTGTTCTCCAGCTCACATGCAGAAGTAAAAAACTGAGGCTGGAGTGAGGTATAGTTGTGCACACCTTTATCCCAGCACTTGGGAAGGAGGCAGAGGCAGGTGAATCTCTGAGTTCAAGGTCGGCCTGGTCTACAGAGTGAGTCCAGAACAGCCAGGGCCACACGGAGAAATCCTGCCCTGGCAAACACATACACACAAGTGCTCACACAAATTCAAGGTTGGGCCTCACAACAGCAGTGGGGCCTCCAGCTGTAGACCTATTCAGAACAAATGAGACACACTAATCCTGTTGAGGTGAACTATAGCAGTTCTTGAGGCTGGGATTCTGCATCTGGCCTCTGAGGCAAGGATAGTCTGAGGCATCTACATGCTGGCCCAGATGCCTCCGGGACAGGGAAATGGTCACTGAACATCCTTCTGTGTCTCTGGAGCTGCACATTATCTTTTTCAAAATGGTATTGCCAGGAAAACAAAAGATTTCAGTTTTAGTTCACAAGTTCAGTGTTGTTTAATGTGGAATACAATTTTAAGAGAAAAGATAGAAGGTAGCCTGGTGTCCTTGCCATGGAAAAAACAAGAATCATAGCACACTCAGGCTCACTGCTGGATTAGGAGTGAGGAGGCCATAGCACGTCTCTCAGCACTTCCTTTCTTACTATGCTCTGGCCTTTCCACATCTGCAGAAGACAGGGGCTCCAGAAAGCTGTAGAACTCATTGATTTTTCCATCAAATGGTGTATGGTCAGCAAGATCAAGAAAGGGACAGAAAGCCAGTTAGTTCTTTAAATCCAAAGGGCAACTTTGTAAGAACCATGGAGGAGGGCATGGGAGCACCCTCTACAGCAGGGAGTACTCTGCTGCCTTCCCACCCTGACTATTAGCTGCAGGCATGGCTGCACCTTGACATTTTCAAACAGCAACTATCGATATGTTTCCCCAAAGCTCTCTCGAAGCCCATCCTCCAGCTTAGCCACCAGGGAAGTGGGGAGGGCAGCATCAGGGAAGCTGAGACACGGGATATGCAGCAGGAGAGCCATGACTATGCATTTGTCAGCACAAGAGAGTTGAGGCCAGTGCAGAGACTTGAGCAAGCCTGCCCCGGTGCCGGGTGAATCCTTACAGAGGGGCTACATCACTGGTTCCCACATGGAGCTTGTGTAGAAGAGTACAAAGAATAGTCAGGCTATCCAGCATCTTATGATGACTCACCTGAGGGCCCCACACTATCACTCCTGTATATCCACACTGTGGTCGAGTATTCCTGTCCTCCTATAACCCCACCCCCGAAAACTGTTTGCCTAGTAGGACGAGCCTGGGAGGCAACATGTTGCCCACATTAAGATGCTCTTTGGTCCACTGGTCACGAGTTTTCCACACAGCCATGCTATGATCCACAAAGTGACAATCGTGCGGCTAAGCTGGTTTCCCAGCACAGCCTCAACCCACAGCTTCCTCTGCCTCCTTTCAGTGACACGTATGCAAGGGTCCTAGGCTGGTAAGTTCACTTCTAAGACTGAGAAACAAGATGAGGCCAGGGGCTTGTTTCCATAGCGATCACATGCTGCCCTTTCGGATCAGAAGATCTCTTCAACTTTAGAAGTCAACTGACCCAACGCTACCAATGGTCAGCAGCCAACTGAGGATGCTCATTGGCTACCTGCTCAGTGTAGGGCTGGACTGAGTTGGGTACCAGGACCTGCCAAGAAATAACACACATGACTTGAGCTGGGGAGACTCAAGAAGCTGGGTTGTCCCCAGTAGAGCCCTGGGGATAAGCCACAATGATATCAGAGGTATAGGGGTCAAGTGGCTCCAGACAGCCAAGACATACTGGGGATGTGGAAAGGCCAAATGGCAGAGACTGCATCCAGCCCGAGGAATCAGGAGACTAGTTAGAGCTTCTGGAACCAGGAGCACATGCATTTCAGGATGCTCTTTGCTTGTCAGGTGACATAGCCAGTATGAAGTGGGGACCAGAGGATAGGGCAGTCAAGAGATGCACAGTCAGGAAAAAGAACAATCCACACCTCTGGGGAGGGGGAGGGGTGGGGACAGGAAGTGTCCCTTTTCTAGGCTTAAGCACAGAGCCTTAAGACCATAGTTGTGTTTCTCTCATTTAGCCTCCCATGCCAAGCAGTGTACAAACCAGGACAAAATAATGTGACAAGTCACCAGTGATCTTGGGTTTCTGTATATGTGTTTCCTTTTTTTTCCATTTAATTTTCCCCTCTCAGCCCCAGCAATTGGCTAGTACAGTGAGGGGCAGCTGACATTAAAGACCACAGGGCTGGACAAAGGACCACTCTACCTTCCTCGGGCTCTTAACTGATCAGCTCATCAACAGCATATACAGTGAGGGTTTTTAGGCCACCAAAAAGGCTCTTCTTCTCTCAAAGGTCACCAATGAGAATGTGGAAGCAGATTCTGATTCGGAGATTTAGAACTCCACCTACCCCTCCCCTGACAACTGCTGTCCTACAGCCTCAGTTTCCTCATCTGTAAAATGGGGCTTACCTGTTTTGCCCTGAGGCCTGGATAATGTCAAGAGGGGCCAGGAAGGCTTGGGAGTAGGCAAAGCCTGATAGTCAGAACTAGGGCAAAGCCCAGATCCAAGGATGGAGGGCAAAGTAACCCATTTCTCCTGGAGGACAAGCTGAGGCTCTACACAGATGTGCAACTGCTCCTCCTGCTCTAAGACACCATGGCCAGTTCCTCGAGGACACTGACCTGTCTGCCATTCAAACAGTTTCAGGGATCCTCAGATGTTGGAAAAGAAATGATCACATCTCTCTAGAGCAGAAGGACCTCAAAGGAAGCAGGATCAGCTACCTCATGGAAACAAGGTTGCCGTTCAGCTAGACACAATTGTCCTATCCTACAGAACTGTGGTCCTGAGGGCATTCTGACAGCCAGACTCTGGAGAACGTCGGAGGCAAGCTACACATCTGTGACTTCCAGTTCTCCAGCCTGGGACAGGGGAAACTGCCACTGGAGGAGCAGAACTCACAGTTCCTTACTGAGTGGAGGTTCTTCCTGATGCATGCATTGCTCAACTGCAGGGCCGACCCCAAACACCACGAAGATTCTCAGGTTCTGGGCCTGGGTGCTTAGAGCCCTGAAGCTCAGGAAGGGATCCTGTTATAGTCTAGGTGATTCACGGTTCTGTTACCAGTGTCTAGTAACCAACTACAGGCACTCCAGGGACCCTGAGAGCCAGCGCAGCAAGGGCCATCTGGCCACACAACAGGGTTCTAGGATCAGGCCCAGAAGGACCCCCTTTTCGGACAACAAAAAGAAAATCCCGCAGCTGTCAAGGGGCCACTCTGTAACTTTCCCGGCCTACTGACAGGCCCACAAAAGCAGAAGGAAGTGTGGGATGGGGGGCACACAGGACGCCCTACGCGCTACTCCCGCTGCCGCCCCAGGTAGCTGCAGGTTTCTGCAGACGGTGCCCCCACTACGTACACCTTCTTAGAGTGTGGGCCAACGCTTAGTCCGGGACAAGAGGGCACTCAAGGACAGGCAGGCACCGAGGGTCGCCTGCGTCTGAGGTTCCTGGGCTGGCCTGGAGTGACCCACACGACCAGCCTCCCCCCCCCCCCCCTCCAGCTCGCCACAAGCCAGGCTGCTGCTCCCAAGGCAAACACGGAACATCCGGGCTGATGCCCCGAGGCCGAGCTCTAAGAGCCCTAGGCCGGCTGGCCCGCCGCCTACCCTGGAACTCACCTTAGCGAGCCAGCGGCGCCTCCTCAGCGCTCGCGGTCGGGCTGGGCGGGCGCGGCCCTGGTGCCGGCCCTCAGTCGGTTGACCCACAACTTCTACCTGAGGGCAGTAAGGGCCCCTCCGCGCCAGCCGCGATACTCCGCCGGCTTAGCGCGTTTTCGGCCCCCAAGCTCCAGTCCCGGCCCGGCAACCTTACGCCGCCTCCGTAGAGCCCGCCGTCCCGCCCGGCCCACCCGGTACGCCTTACGCCTCCTCCGTAGCGTGGCGCCCAGCCGGGGCCCGCGGCTACAGCGCGTCAGGGGCGCACGCGGCACTGGGAATCGCGCCGGGACTACGGTTCCCACAGGGTAGAGCGACGTCGTTCGAGGCACGCCGGGAGTTGTAGTCCACGGACCGCCCTGTCCCTGCCCTCTTCCCCTGGTATCTCCCTCTCGCAACGCGGAAGGAGCCGCTCAGTCCACCGATTCAGGTGCTACCCTCATGCCAGCGTAACGAGGTGCGTTGGATCCGGGGAGATAATGGACTACAGCTCCCAGGATGCTCTGCGAGGGACTTCTGGGCAATGCTCCGGTGGGCGTCCTCACCGCCGGAGTCTCACTGCGCCAGGGGCTATGTCCGTAGTCCATATCACGATTGTACTAGGTCTGAGGAGGTTATCTGCGGCGCTGCGTCAGCCTGGCTGCATGGACTGCTCTCTACCTCTCCCAATCCCTTCACCGACTTCTGTGCTGTCCCAGTGGTCTGAAGCAGCAATCGTTCTGGACCTACTTGGGTCCGAGGCCCGTGCTTACTCAAGCGTGCCAGATAGACGCATCTCTTTTCCTAGAGAAACACTGGCATCTAATTGAGACATCTTCCCAGGTCCTCTGAGTGATGTTTACAAGAGCCCCCACGCTATTTCCCTTCTTGAGCCCTTTGGCTACCAGAAGTAGATGAATCACTCCTAGCCACTTGTCCTCTGCAACCCGGAAGATGCACCAAGAATCAGGCTGCAGAGAGGGCACCACATAGCAAAGGGACACTAAAAAGAAGCCCCTGGGATACCCTGCACTCTAGATGTTGTATGCGAGATTCGGTGACATGGGCCCCAGGACCCAGAAAACCTGAGCCTGGCTCAGTAGGGCCTACACGTACTTAGTCACGTTTCTGGGAAATCACTCATGCTCCAGAAGCCGGCAAGGCGAAGACAGTCCATTGAACTCAAGATGCTGTGTGGGGACACCTGTGTCCAAATGTGGAAGACACCACATTTTGGCAGCATTGGAGCAGAATCTGGCATCTGAGCACTCCAAGAAATGCAGCAGCTGGGGTTGAGCCCACTGACACGGTGGTTGAAGTTACTGCTAACTCAGCAATGAGCAGTCACTTCCACGGTGAGTTGGGTCTTATGGAGACAAGGAGAAACTAGAAGTGAGGCCTAGCATCATGGGGAAGATAGACCGTTCACCCAGAAGGCTGACTAGACCGACATCATCAGTAGGTGAGGCTCACGGTTGGGTCAGAGGAATGGCCAAGAAGGATCCAGGACAGGACTTTGCAGCATCTCTCATCACTATGGATCATCCTCAGTGCCATGATGCACCCCGTTAAGCTGATTACACAGCAGGAGACTTTGGATCATCGTGGGTTGTTGGCTGAGCCCTGATCTACACTAGTGTAGTGTGGGCCGTTAAGATAGAAAGAACCCTGCCGGGCGTTGGTGGCGCACGCCTTTAATCCCAGCACTCGGGAGGCAGAGGCAGGAGGATCTCTGTGAGTTCGAGGCCAGCCTGGGCTACCAAGTGAGCTCCAGGAAAAGGCGCAAAGCTACACAGAGAAACCCTGTCTTGAAA